AGACCTTGCTGCTGGAGAAGGTCATCTTTGTTTTTTGTGTTTGGGGGACATTCTTAGTTTCCCTTGTTCATCCATCTGTACAGTAGAAAAATGAGGGAGCTCAGGCCATGAGTTCACCAACGCCTGGCTCTGGGAGGTAGATGGTAGTTAGCAGGGGTAGTATGCAGATGGGGCTGAGGCCTGAAAGTCTGAACTTCTAAGAGCAGCATCTGTAGGGTGTCCATGGTGGGGAGGGGCATCTGAGGCCTTTCAGGCTGGGGGCTAAATGCAACGCCTACCACAGCTTTGGGGGTCACAACCTCAGAGCAGTTCTATAATCTCAAAACTAACCTAGCTTTCATGTTCAGAGTTTGGGATGGGGAGCCCCACAGGGTTCCCAAAACTGAAAATCTTTTTGGAAGTAGATTGTGGCTACTGGAGCAGAACGTCTCATTTTTATCCTGTGGAGCACCTGGTGGGTCAGCATGAGCACTTTAACCCCAGCGCCACTAAAGTTCTCTCAGAAATCCAGCCTTTTGCTAAATCAGTCAAAGACGAATGGATGTCCTTGAACTAGGACTCAAGGTTGGAGGAGTGGGGGTGGGGTGGGATTATGAACTTAACTAGAAATTGTGTTTTTAATTTTTAGGTTTGCAAAGAAATCCATTTCTTTATATGCGCGCACACACACACACACACACACACATACACACACACACACACAGTCTTCTCTTTATCTCTCTCTCACACAGTCTCTTCCCTCACAGTCTCCTTTCTTCCACACTCATACACATATGCACGCAGAGTATTTCTCACACACGTGGAGTCTCTCTCTCACAGTTTCCTCTAGCTCTCTTACACACGCAATCTCGTCTCTTTCATAGACTCCTCTCTTTCTCCCAGACCCACACAAAGAGTTGCTCTTTCACACACAATCTCCTTCCCACCTCTCTCACACACACATACACACACACCCACGCTCTCTCTCCTTTCAGTTTCCTCCCCTCCCACAGTGTGTTGCTCTCTCCTACACTATCTCCTCTCACAGTGTCCTCTTGCACACACACATACCATTTCCACTCTCTGAGTCTCTGTCTTTGTCTCTCTCTCTCTCTCTCACACACACACACACATACACACACACATTTTCATGCACACAACCCCAATCTCTTAATCTCCTCTGTACCTGTTTCACCACACAAAGCCTCACAGAGCAGTGAGTCTGACTCTGACTCACCCAGAAGAGATTATTTTCTCTCTCCCTTCAACTGTGGATTTTAAAATGATTTTCCTACTTGCTGCTTCTGGGGGAGACGGAATCTTGTTTCTCTAAGCACCAATTTACTGCTATCTGCATGCAGGCTTCTTATCAGGCCTCTGCTTATCTTCCACAGACCTGTCAAAAGGACCTCTCTGGGGGGTGTCAGAGCACAGGCTGGGGCCTCTTGTCTGATGTGGGACCCCTTGGCCTGGCATTTGTCAGTAAGGCAGACTGGGGAGCAAGCTTGGAGCTTGGCAAGGGGCCTAGACTGGCCTCACAAGCAGGGCCCCATGCCAGTGACGGTGACCGCCTGATGGGGGCGTAGTGGGCACATCTCAGGGAAACAGATTAAAGACTCACTTAGCTGAAACCAGGTGCTCCTGGAAACTGGGATTATGGAAGGAAGAAGAAGAGGCCCAGAGGTGCCTGGAGTGATTCCTCACCAGCTAGTGTTTCCTTTTGGATTTCTTCAGCATCTTTAGAGGAGCAGAGCCCTCAGAAATAGCAGCTGCCTATAAAATCTAATTTCAGCCAAGCATCTCAAGAATTTATGAGTGCCCCAGGGTGACAGCTGAGACTCTGGGGTCACATCCCCTTTCCATTCCCCCACCCCAGGCCTCACTTCCTCCCTGGGGCCAGAGGCAGAGTGGAGCCCAGGAGTGCCTGCTGAAGGAAGTGAGATTTGGAGAGATAGCACAGCGTGGCTATTCACTGGAGCTGGGGAAGATACATCATTGGCACAGGGGGGTGAGGATATTAAAGCACAAGAAAAGTTGGGTTGAAATTGCTGGTGGGCATTTTCCAAGTGTCTCTTACTTTCTGTGACACAGCTGGTTCTTGGCTCAAGTTCAAACTCCTGACCTTATGTCCCATGCTATATCCCACACACATACATCAGTATGCACCAGCCCTCTGCATCTGTAAGCTGACTCAGGATTGCTGTCCTACTCTGCATACCTGTTCCTCACCTGAGTGTCCCCTTCCTTCCCCTGTGCTTTTGCACAATTCCTTCCCCCCCACCGGAATGACCTTTGTCCAGGCCCAAGCAAGAGAGCTTTGGGTCCAGTTTTTGAATGTGCCCCCTCTGCAGCCTCAGGACTGCCTTTTTGCCCTGGGCCCCTGACTGGCAAAGGCAGAGGAGGCCAGGAAATAGTTGGCTAGGTTTGCTCCCAAACGTCCATGGCCAGGGTCCTCACAGAGGATCATAGGACCTTAATGGTGACTCCCGTTCCCAAATGCCATCTGCTTTTATTGACTGAATTTCTTTTGTTTCCAAGTAAAATTTGGATGGAACAAAGTGTTTAGGAACAAAGTGGACAACGCTTCATCTTGCAGAGGAAACAAGTGTTCCAGGGAGGGTATAAACTAGAGCTGAGTGTGGTCTTGTCCTGCCTCTCGGCTTATAGTCTCTGTTCAGTCTCCCTTTGGTTTACTTGAGGGGTGCCAGTTACACTGCCTTCTGTGTGAATAGCGGCCCTTGGACACAACTGCAAGGTATGAACTGTGAATAGTGCCACATCGAGGTGCAATTTGTGGGGCCATCTCTATTCCAATTTCTACTCCTCTCAATTACTTCTCCATGCCCTTCTCCTCTCTGACACTTCCGGGGCCACCCCTTAGGTACAGGATAAAGTCTAAACTCAGTGTGTCATTCAAGGCTCTCATGAGCGGGCCAGTCTTCAAGGATGTTCCAATCTTATTTTCTAGGGACTCCATCCTCTTCCCTAAAAGGGTTGATGAACATTTTCTCAAAAGGGTCAGTCAGTAAACACTTTGGGCTTTACGGGCTGCATAAGCTTTCAATAGTGTATTCTTTTTATAATAACCCTTTAAGCAAAAACTATGGCAACCCCATGGATTAGAGAACAAACTGTTTCACATAGTTTTTTTGGCTGTAATATTTGGGAAGCAGATTTACAGGCCTTCCTGTGGTGATGCCACTGAGGATTAGAATCATCAACCTTGAGGTTTGTAGTTGAGCACACACTGCTTGCATAACCCAGGGACCACCACAGCAGGGGACCAGGGGCACTATGAGTTGGAATCAACCTGACAATAGACGTCTTTGAAAATAAAAATGGGCCATAGGCCACGGTAGGCCAGTTGGCTGTAGTGTTCAGACTCCTATTTACCTGTGCCAGGTGGGAGCATCATAATAGACAGTGAAGACATTGAGATTGTTAAAGGCTTCAGCTTGCTTGACTTCACAATCAACACTCTTGGTACCAGCAGCCAGGAAATAAAAAGACAAATTGGGTTGGGAAAATCTGATATCAGAGACCTCTTCAAGTTCAAAAGCAATGATGTCAGTCTAGAGACTAAGGTGCGCCTGATCCAGGCCATGGTCCTCCAATTACTTGCTATACATTGGAAAGCTACGTAATGACTAAGGATGGTAGAAGAAGAATCAATGCCTTTGAGTTGTAGTGCTGGAGAAGAGGACTGAATATACTATGGACTGCTAAGAGAACAAACACATTTGTCCTGGAAAGGGTGAAACCAGGCTGCTCCTGGGAGGCAAGGATTCTGAAGCTTTGTTGGACATACAGTGGCTATGTTGCAAGGAGAGACCAGTCCTTGGATAGGGATATTATACTTGGAAGGGTGGAGGGACAGTGCAAGAGAGGAAGACCCTGGATGAGATGGATTGACTCAGTGACTGGGATAATGGGTGTAGGTGTGTCAGAAACAATGAAATTGGCACAGGATAGAGCAGGTTTCAGGGCTGTTGTACATTGGGTCGTTCTGAGTTGCAAGCAACTCGATGGCACATAACAACCACAACTTACCTGTGCAGAGAGGATGCCTTTGCTTCTTTTCTTTTTTTCTTTTTTCTTGTTGTGGACTGTCGAGTTGAATCTGACTGGCACAGGAGGAGACTGCCCCTCCTTCTCCAGTGAAGCATCTAGTGGATTTGAACCCCACGCCTTTGGGATTGTAGCATAGCTTCTTGCCACTAGGCCACCAGAGCTTCCTGTACTTCCTTCTTTAAGAATCAATCCTCTTGGTGCAGTGGTTAAAATCACTTGACTGCTAATCTAAAGGTGGTTGTTGTTAAGTGCCGTCGAGTCGCAGGCGACTCACAGTAACCCTATGAAGCAGAGTCCTCGACCCTATAAAGGAGAGTCCTCGACGCTTGGGTGCCTTTCATCCTCTCTCCAGGTTCATAGGGTTTCCAGAGGCAAGCTCTTATGGAAATGGATGCCACTCCTCTTTCCAAACTTAATCTAAAGGTTAGCAGTTTGAAATCACTAGCCATTCTATGGAAGAAAACTGTGGTAGTCTGCTTCTGTAGAGATGTGCAGCTTGGGAAACGCCACGGGGCAGTTCTTCTCTGCCCTGTACCATCCATCTCTGGATGCAGGAGCGAGCAGGGCTTCATTCTGCTGACAAAGATTGCTGTGGGTCAGAGTCAACTTTACAGCACCGAACAAATACAAGAGTAGGAATCAGCTCAATGACAACAGGTTAGGTATGGTTTTAGTACTGTTTCTTTGCCTTTATAAGATTTCTCCCTGTCCTAAGTGAATGAGTAAGTAAATAAGCAGAATAAATGGACAAATATATATTCCCTACTCTGGCCTGCTGGAATCCATTCTATCTGATTTTTCTTTTTCTTTCTGGTTATCTAACTCTCCCTCACAGGTGGATCTGCTGATGCGCCCCCAGGCCAGCTGGGTGGGGTTGGGGAGGGGGCAGTTTCATCACTTTCCCACCTTAATGATCCTCTCTGTCTTCTAGGTGTTGCCGCACCTCCACCATGCCTGAAGTGTAAGTACTCTGATTCTCTATGCAGCGCTTGGGGAAAGCACGCTTTGCTGGAAATTTGAGCCCCATAGTTGAGGTTCCAATCTGTTCTACCCTGAAGCTGTTCTCAGCAAACCAGTTCCTAAAACAAGGAGAGTGCTGTGTGTGAGTCAGTTCTCCGTGGCTTCCCCAGTGGCGTCACAAGACCTCTCAGACTTTGAGCAGAACTCATACTTCTTGTTCTCTGGGGAAGACCCTTTTCAGCCTGGGTTTGGGAATTTGTCAGTCTGCACTGGGCTGACGAGTTGTGCACCATCAGGCTGAGAATTAACATTGGCCCAGTAGATGACTGAGACCCTGGGAATTTGTCCACAAGTCCATGAATGGAACTTTTACATTGTTTGAACTCTGCATTGAATTGAGAGCCCTCTGACTTCCCTGACCTTCCACTGCCTCTCCCCCATGTACCATGACTGGTAACTCTCAGCTTCCAGAAGTCCACACGCCATTGAGTTTTCACTTGATTCTGCCAAAGCTGGCAAACTGGGCTCCTTGTCCCCTGCCCTTCTGAGCTCACCAAGCGAGTCCACCTGGCTCCGCTGGGGCAGACGGAACCTCATCCTTAGACTCACTCTTTTTCTGTTCTTTCCTCCCATGCTTCCTGCGATGGTCATGTGAAGTGAGGTGAGTGGTGTTCGGGGTACTCCTGTTTATAGACTGGAGGGCCTGGGACAGTCATCAGGCATCAAGGGAGAGTGGGGAGCTTGAGTCAGGGTCTGGGGGATGCGCTGTGACTGATCAAATTTACAGGGGAACCACAACCTCCTATGAAGATTCCAACGAGGGGATTCCCCCCAGGGTCTATGTGGTTGGGGCCCAGGCACAGCTTCAACACACTGAGACAGTGGACCTTGGTCTGGGGTCACAGCAGAGCACAGTGTGACTCCACACCCAACTCCTTGTCAAGAGCGGCACCAATTCACCCTCGCCCATTCTGAGACTTCTTCCGGAGCTGGGGGGACCATATTAGAAAGCAGGTCCTGTGCAAAACCATACTTACACGGGATAAAGATAGTCATTCCTCACATTGGGTCATTATGCCCTCAGAGCATTGAAGGAGAAGCAAAGAGGAGCTCTTGGACTCTTTTTAGGTCTTAGATGAACCTGGCCTGGTTACCCTGCACATGCCAGATTTATGTCGGCTGGGTGAGGGCTGGAGCTGCAGGGAGGACAGGGTGGGGAAATGAGCAGCACTGATGGTGTAGACATTTGACATAGAGTCGAAGTGAGACCAGAATGTGCCATTTTTCTCTAGCCAGTATATTTCTAACTGCATAGCTGAGATCATATTTAAGTGAGTTCCCTATGATTGATGGTCCAGTGAGGGGACCCATGAGCTTACCAAATCATTGGGTAAATAAGACAGCAATGAAACACTTGCATCCCATTGGGTAAAGCTGTGCCTCTCTCCCTTCACCCTCAGAGAAAATCCAAGATCACAGCCTCCCGCAAACTCATGCTGAAGGTGAGTTCAAGGGCTGGGTCAGTGGGAGACAGAGGGTACGTGGCCTGGCCTCTGAAGGGGTGATGTAGTGGGGTAGGTGGGGCATCAGGGGTAAAGAGGAAGGAGACCAGAACAAGAATGCCAATTTGGAGATGGGGCCAGCAGAGGGAGCCTAGCTGTTGCTCAGACACGGGTGGTCACAGAGTGGGACCCTCAAGCTATACAGTCTTAGTGCTTGTCCTGGAGGATCAGGGTGGTCAGAGGAAGGGATTGATTCGTTTCAGACTGGGAATCCAATGGTGGTGGCAGAAGGATTTGTTGTATTTAGGTAAGAATTTCTCTCTTTGGATCACTGTGGGGACAATACAGACAAAAAGTGGGTGAGAAGACCTACAGTTTTAAAAAACTGTTTCAGGCCTGAGAAATGCCATGTGTGGCCACCGAGCATCTGTTCCCACACAGTCATGCTTCCATACTTAGAAGGCAGCTCATTTACACATTCCCAGGGATGACCAGTCCAGGCCCTGATGTTCAGGAGAACATGGGGCTAGCAGAGCTGGCTGAGGCCAGAGCTGACCCCGTGTGCATCTGCTTTTCTTGGTGTGGAGTGGGGCCCATGAGATCTGAGGGCTACTTCTCACTAAGCTTTGCTCTGTCCAGAGTCTGATGCTGGCCAAGGCCAAAGAGTGCTGGGAGCAAGAGCATGAGGAACGGGAGGCCGAGAAGGCTCGCTACCTGGCAGAGCGCATCCCATCGCTACAGACCCGAGGCCTGTCCCTCAGTGCCCTGCAGGTGAGCCTGGAAGGCTGGGCTGGGGGTGCGGAGCTCCCTAAGGTGACACATGTGACCAGGTGGCAGGATCTGAACTCACATTGCTGAACTCTTTGTAATTTACAAGGTGCCTGTGGCAGTGACAGTGGCTCAGGATAGGGCAGGGCCAGAGTCACTGTGCAGAGAGTTGCTATGAGTTGCAGTCAACTCAACAGTACATCAAAACAACACTGTACCATAGGAGCTCTGGTGGTCTAGTGGTAAGAAGTTGCATTGCAATCCCGAAGGCATGTAGTTCAATTCCACCAGCTGTTCCACAGAAGAGTAGGCAATCTCCTCCTGTGTGATTAACTGCTTCTGAAAACTCACTGGAGGGCTGGCACACAAGAAAACTGACAATTATAGCAGAAATACCACAAGTGGATGACCTTAACAAATCAGCCCTTATATCCTCACAGTTTAGGAGACTGTTGCTGTTAAGTATTGTCGAGTTGACAGACCTATAGCTGACCTTCCAGTGGGTTTTCCGAGGCAGTAAAGCTCACGGGAGGAGACTGCGCATCTCTCTCCTGCAAAACAGCTGATGAATTTGGACCATGTGCTTTAGGACACTGGCTCTAGGAGAAGGCTTTATCTCTCTGTCGTCTCTGAGGAAAGGTCCTTGTCTCTTTACAGCTTATATAACGATGTGGCATGACATCTCTCTTATCCCATCTCTGTTTACTTCTCTGTATGCTCTTTTCATCTCTCAGAAGTGACTGGTTTAAAACACATGCTACACTGATACAGCCTCGTTAACATAACAAAATCCATTCCCAAAGGAGATTATAACCACATGTATAAACCAAACCCTGTGAGTCAGTTCTGAATCATGGGGATCCAACAGGACAGAGCAGAAGAGCCCTACGGGGTTCCAAGGCGGTAAATATTTATGAGAACAGTCTGTCATCTCTCCCTCTCGCTGAGCAGCTGGTGGGTTCAAACCTTTCAGTTAGCAGTCGAATGCTTCATTCACTGTGCCATTGGGTTTCCTATCTAAAGGTATAGGGACTTGAAACATTTTTTTTTGGAGGGGAGCATAATTCCACTCTTACCTCCTCTGATTACTTTGAATAGTCACAGAGCCTGTAAAGTGAATAGTCACAGAGCCTGTAAACCCATATCATGGGTTTGAGAAGTGAGCACGAGAGGGTGGAGTGACTTGCTTGAATGGGACAGAACCAGGGGTCTAGCTTCCTAGCAGAGCCATGTGATGGTATGAAGCAGGAGGGGACCAGGATTTGGGAAGCCCCTTTTCTCCAATAAGAGGAGGACCTCTTGCACTTACTGCAGAGGGTCAAGGACTGCAGCCTTCAGTATGGACTGAGGCTCAATGTCAAGAAGACAAAGATTCTCACCACTGGACCAATCGGTAGCATCAGGATGGATGGCGAAGAGATTGAGATTGTTCACAGCTTCAGTTTGCTCGGCTCCACAGTCAACACCCTTGGTACCAGCATCCAGGAAATTAAAACACGTATTGCGATGGGAAAGTCTGCGGTTAGGGACCTCTCTAAAGTACTCAAGAGCAACGATGTCTCTCTGGAGACTAAGGTGCGCCTGATACAGGCCATGGTCTTTGCAATAACTTGTTATGCATCAGAGAGTTGGATAATGACTAGCGAGAATAGTAGGAGAATTGACGCCTTTGAGCTGTGGTGCTGGGGAAGAGTATTGAATGTTCCATGGACTGGCAAGAAAACAAACAGATTCATCCTAGAGAGGGTTAAACCAGGCTACTCCTTGGAGGCAAGAATTCTGTGGCTTTGTCTGACATACTTTGGACATGTTGTAAGGAGAGACAGGTCCTTGGAGAGGGACATCATGCTTGGTAGGGTAGAGGGACAGCGCAGGAGGGGAAGACACTCTATGAGGTGGATTGATTCAGTGACTGGGGTAATCGGGATGGGTGTGTCAGAGGCAATGCGATTGGCACAGGATAGAGCAGGGTTTAGGGCTGTTGTACATAGGGTCGCTATGAGTCGCAAACGACTCGACAGCACATAACAACAACAACTTTTCTCCAAAATATTATCTTTGTCCTTCACCTAGAGAGAAATCTGTAGTGTTTTTAAGACATTAATCTTCCTGTCTTAAGGCCATCAGAAATGTTATCAACCATTATTTTCCAGTTGTCGCATTATTAGTGATTTTTATCTTACTATTTTTGTTCATTGTATGTTTCCGGCATCTCTGCATAGTTGAAATAGGTAAATGATTTGATCCAGCAACCCCACTATTAGCTATTTCCTAAAGAAATAAGAGCTTGCACATGAGTGGCTCCACGCACACCTATGTTCATTGCAGCATTATTAATAACAGCAAAGAGATGGAAACAACTTAAGTGTCCATCAACAGAGAGGAATGGATAAATAACCTATGGTACATACATGCAAAATGGAATACTATACAACATTAAAGCAGAGGATTTGTGAAACACTTGGCAGCGTGGATGGGTCCTAGGTAGAGGAGGGGAAGGAGAAGCAAAACCAGCAAAGAGGTAATTTTTTAAAACCTCATTGCCATCAAGCTGGAACGGCTGCATAACTGACCCTGTAGCGGGTTTCTGGAGGCTGTATTACACAGGAGTTCATTGTTATCCTTCCCTTGAAGAGCTGTTGGTGGGTTTGAACTACCAAAGAGGCTCCATGTTTGGGTTAGCAACCCGACTCCCTGTGGACTATGCCACCAGAGCTCCCTATTAGATAGCAGACACGTTTTCATTTGGATGGAGACGGGAAAGGCCATATACAATAAAGGGATGATTAACACATTTTGCCAAAGAAATGCAACACAAAGAGGTAAGCAAGAGATACAGATAACAAAGGGAAACACTAGTAAGTACACAATCCTGTACTATTAGTAATGACAAACATGTATCTGCAAGTGGTCATATAGGCAGATAGGCAAGAGGAATAGGTATGGGCAAGTGAAAGGGATTACAACTGTGACCACATACAGGTTTGGCCGACAGCATTTCTACATTTATACTGTATATGCTCTAAACAGAACCATGTGTATAACAGAACCAAAAATGGGCAAAGTTATATAAATTTCTTAATGGTAACCAACATCCTCAATGAGTTGCCTTAGAATAATTTTCTAGAGGACATCAAGGTCAATTGACATAATATAATTAATAATATTATGTTAGAGACCTCTCCAAATTATTGAGGAGTAATGATGTCAGTTTAAGGGCTAAAGTGCATCTGATTCAGGCCATGGCTTTTCTACTACTTGCTATTCATCTGAGAACTGGGCAATGAATAAGGATGACAGAAGAATCATTGATGCCTTTGAGCTGTGTTGTTGGAGAAGAGCACTGAACATCCCAAAGATTGAGGTCTCACATACTTTGGCCAAGTTGCTAGGAGGAGTTATATTGTGGACAGGGACACAATGCTAGGAAGAGTGCAAGGTCAATGAAGGAGAAGACCCTTGACCAGGTGGATTGACACAGTGACTGCTGCAATGGGCTCTTGTGTGTCGGGAAGTGTGATGATGGCACAGGACAGAACAGGGTTCAGATCTTTTGTTCATAGGGTCTCTATGAGTTGTACTCGATTAAATTGCACCTAACAACATACAACAAGTATTAATATTCAAATTTCTTCTTTGATGAGTCCTCAACCTCATTACCATCTTATCAGAACTGACTATAGCTGACCCTCCTCCAAGTTTTCAGAGTTCATAAATCACATGGGAGGAAGATAGTCCATCGTTTCTCACAGAGCAACTGTTGGATTTGAACCATCTGCCTTTGGGCTGGCGGTGCAACTTTTTACCCACTAAGTAAAGGATGTGAGAAGGTATCTGAAGAAGAGCCATAGGTTTCTGTCCGTCCAAAACAAAGAAAAGCACAGCACATAGAAAAAATTAGTCTAAGAGATTAATGAGCCACATGAACTTCAAGCCCCAGGGCCCTGAAACAAGAAGCACTAGAAGGTAGCCAGATACCACTGCTGATTGCATTCAAGGGGATCGCAGTAGAAGGTCCTGGGCAGAGAGGGTGAAAAACATGGAACAAAACAAGAACCCGAAAATGGTCAGGCTTGCTGGTCTGACAGAGACTGCTGAAACCCTGAGACTTTGGCACTTAGTCATCCTTCGAGCCTATTCCTAAACCCATCCTTGTGACTCAGCTGTCATCTCAACAGTAGACAAGTTTATAAGGAGAACACCACCACCACCAGGGGATACTTACATCTCAGAAAAACGAACCATAAAAGATCAAAAGGGTAATAGTTGTCTGGGGATAAAGCTCAATGAGAGCACTCTGGTGGCCTCGTGTAAGGAGCTTTGTTGCCGACCCAAAGATGCTGCCGTTTCAATCCACCAGGGTAACCGCCTATGTGATTTACTCCTCTGAAAACCCACCAGAGGGTCAACTATGAGTCGATTCCAACTTGACAGTATACAACAACCATAGCAAAGCTCAGAAGGCAGGAAGGGGTAAGACAGAGAATCTGTGGAAATAAGAATTACAAGGAGGAATCGAGAAGTGTGGCTTACCATGTGAGCATTATAATTTATATCACAAAGCAAAATGTCCATCAGTGGTGGGATGAAAACTCAAATTGCTATGCAAACTTTCACTCAAGAAAAAGTCACAAGAAAAAGAAACCTCTTCCCCTCCCCAAAAAGACAGTAAATACATATAGAAAGGAAAAGGAAGGGTTTGTATGTGGAGCTGTCATCAGGTATGAAACTCAGAAGGAATGGGCGTGTCAGCTCGTTCCCACCGCTCAGCTCTTGAAAGGGTCTGCAGGAGGGCCAAGGGCGGTGGGCATGGACATACACGCAGCAAGCCGGACACTCAGTGTCTGCCTGCCCATCTCTTGTCTCCTTTCCTGCCTCGTTGGATCCTCACAGGAGCTGTGCCGAGAGCTGCACGCCAAGGTGGAGGTGGTGGATGAGGAGAGATACGACATCGAGGCCAAATGTCTCCACAACACCAGGGAGGTGAGCCTGCAGAGGGGCACATGGACGAGTGGGTGTGCAGAGTGCGTGCTATCCGGCTAGAGTGGGGATGGGCAGTGACATGCCAGGGCCTCCTCCTTCTGCTGGTTTTGGGAAGTGGCCACTTAACCAGGAAGTCTTGGCCTGCTGCCCCACCCCACTGCAGGAGGTGGGCAGAGAGCGAATAATCACAGATGAAAAAGAAAAAACGCAGACTTCCTCCCTGCCTGCCACGTGCACTCTTCAGTCCAGTAGATGCCAACCTCTTTGTTCACCCACACAAATAATCATATACCTGCTAATAACATCTTACCGTGGCAAAGTGCTTTCATGTGCGTTATACGCTTTGATCCTCCCTACACACCTGCGTGCACTTTACCTGCTATTATCTGTGCTTGATGGATCGGGACGCAGGTTCAGAGACACTGAGAAATGCAGCCTGGGCACACAGTGGTGATTCTGGGACAGTCGGAGTCCTTACTCCAATGGTTGGGAAAAGCATCCAAACTCCTGTTTGCAGTGGGAAAGGATGGGTCAGGGTAGGCAGAACTCCTTCTGGGCTTCTTCTGGGGTTGTTCAAGCATCTAGGGGTGAATACGGAGGGGTAGAGCCACCCTACTTCTTCCCATTCTTCACACTGGGAATGATGATCCCTGGGAGTGCTCATCTTCCCCAGAATTCCATCAAAAGATCAGCCCCTAGAAGTCCACTGAGGACTGGGCCTGGAGAGAGATCCACTGGCTGAACCAAGGCTGTGCCTTCAGTGAGCTGATCTGAAGGCTGGCTGAGCAGGAATAGGGCTGAGGGAAGATGGTGCAGCCCTATGCTCCCCACAGGACTTCTAAACCACAATAGGTGCTGAGCTTGGGTTGCCCCTATCCTTCACGGCCACAGAGACAGGTAACTGCTCCTGGGATCTGTTTCTTCATTCATTCATTCATTCATCAATGAACATATTGCTACATGTAAAGTGATGGGTGGGGCTGACAGCCCTGGAGGATCTGGTCTACAAGCTGGACCCTAGAAGTGTAATGTTCCCAGGGCACCCGAGAGCTGGCTCCTCCTGCAGTGAGCTCTTGCCTCTTTCCACTTGCAGATTAAGGACCTGAAGCTGAAGGTGCTGGACCTCCGAGGGAAGTTCAAACGCCCGCCCCTGCGTCGGGTCCGAGTCTCAGCTGACGCCATGCTCCGGGCGCTATTGGGCTCCAAGCACAAGGTGTCCATGGATTTGCGGGCAAATCTCAAGTCTGTGAAGAAGGAAGACACGGAGAAGGTGAGGGCTGGTCTTCAACTGTCACCTTCATACATCCTCAGGCCGGCTCTGGAGCTCCTGCCAGAGGCCAGTCAGCCTGTCAGTTAGAACATCCTAGAACCCCCAGGAGATAAATTTTTGTCACTCTGTCCCAGGAGACAAGAGACAAGAGACTCATTTTCTTCCCTAAGGAGCTCCCTATCTGAGGGATAAATACAGATGACTACAAGAGAAATACAGATTCATGAATAAAGTAGAAATCCTAAACTCAGTGTGAAAAGAGTAAGACATTTAGGGGAACTGTGAAGAGAGTGAAGAAGGCTTGGTGGTCAGGCATTGGGATGCTGAGAGGTTGACAGTTCGTATCTACCAGGTGCTTTGAGGGAGAAAGAGGTAACAGCCTCAAAGACCCTCTGGACAGTTCTCTGTGCTAAAGGACCACTTGACAGCAGTGATTGGGTGGGGTCAACTGTCGTCTGGCACTATTGGGGAAAGAAGACAGCAGGTCATCAGGGTCTAGGGACACTTCAACCCAGAAATTAGAGAACTTACTTCAATCACTTGCTCAGTGACTAATCTCAACATTGGCTGAGCCCATAATGTATATGCCTAGGACCAACTGGCCCTATAAAATACTTAGATGAAAGACGTGACTTTTGACTTAAGAAACTTCAGAAAGAGAAGACGCCAGTCAGGCAATATGAAATGGAAAAGGAGTTCAATAACAGGGAGAAGGCTTCTTGGTTGAAGTGGCTTTGAGCTGCCCAGGGCAGAGGGAGGGGCCAGGACAATAAGTAAGATGGGGGTATGATACACAGAGTGGGGTCTTTCCTGGACCCCTACAATCATTACCCAGAATCCCCCCCCCCCCCCGAGCACTCTCTTCCTGCTGAGTTTCCACTTGACACGTGTCCACCTCTGTGATGGGGTCCTAGGACCTCACCAGCCGGGCGGTGGGTGGGGTGTCTAGATTTTATTTATTTTTAAGAAAATAATTGTAATATTTTAAAAGCGACTCGATGGCACATAACAACAACAATTGGATTTTAAAGGACACAAATTTATTCACTGTAGAAAGTATACAAGTATGTACACACGTAACTCCCTGTAGTCGAGTTGGTTCTGACTCACAGTTACCCTGCATCGAGTGTCTGAGACTGTAACATGTAATAATGGGAGGAGATTGCCCAACTTTCTCCCGCTGGAGGATTTGTACTTCCAGAGTGACTGGGCCTTTTATTTAGCACCACAAATCACTACCAACTATGCTACCATAGCACCTGTCTATCCCTCTACCTACCTACTTATCCTCTATCTCTCGCTCTCTCTATCTATCTATCTATCTAATCTATTTTCCTATTAACAGTGTACATAACATGATGAGTTACAAACTAAAAGATCACCAGTTCAAATCCCTGGCTGACCCATGGCAGAAAGGACAGTGCCCTCCTATAAAGATTTAGAACCTTGCTGTAGGGAGTTCTGGTAGCCTAGTGATAAGAAACTGCACTGCAATTCCAAAGGCACACAGTTCAAATCCACCAGCTGCTCTGAAAACCCGCTGGAGTGTCAGCTAAAGGTCAGTTCTGACTCAATGACACACAAACCCAACAGCAAACCTGAGGAAGGGTCACTATGAGTCTGAATCTATTTGACTGGTATAGGTTTGAGTCAAGGCAGGCATGCACATATACACACACATCCCTAGTAGTAGTGGTTTGTGCTTGACTACACACCAAAAGGTTATTGGTTTGAATCCAGCCTTTGGCACTGCAGAAGACAATACCTGATGTGCAGTTTCCATAAAGATTATAGCTAAACAAACCCTAACAGAGCACATTTCTACTCAGTGACATGTCCCGTTGCCATGAGTTGCAATTGACTTCATGGCAAGAGACAACTGACAACAAATGCATATATAAAACAAAACGTTTGCTGTGTTGACATCCTACTTCCTTGAAAAGGCTAATTTTTTTGTCCCCTAGTTTTTCTTGCACTTGAGGGGCCCCGTATATCTCTGACAGACATGTTACCTGCCCACAGGAGCGACCGGTCGAGGTGGGTGACTGGCGGAAGAACGTGGAGGCTATGTCTGGAATGGAAGGCCGGAAGAAGATGTTTGATGCCGCCAAATCTCCTACCTCACAGTAAAGGTAACTTTCCTCTGGGTTGACCAGGATCCCAAAGGATAATTAGGGGCATTAAGCTAAGGGTGGAACCCTGGTGATGCAGTGGTTAAGTACTAGGTCGTCAACCAGAAGGTTGGTGGTTTGAACCCACCAGCTGCTCCTCAGGAGAAACATGAGACATTCTGCTTTTGTAAAGATTAACAAGCTTGGAAACCATATGGGGCTGTTCTACTCTGTGCTACAGAGCTGTTATAACTCAGAATCAACTTAGTGGCAGTGGGCTGGGTTAAGATAAGAGTAGGTAGTTTGTGGCCAGTGTTGTTCAAGGGAAAGAACACTGATCAAAGTGACCACTTAGAAGTCCTGGCTCCTGCATCCTCAGGACAGTTAAGCACCGTGACTACTAACTGAAAGGTTGGCAGTTTGAATCGCCCAGAAGTGCCTCAGAAGAAAGGCCTGGTGATTGGCTGCTGAAAGGTCACAGTCTTGAAAACCCTGTGGAGCACAGTTCTACCCTGACACTCCTGAGGTCTCCATGAGTCAGTATCTGTAGATGGCCCTTAGATGGCCAGGGTAGGGGGGCTTCTTTCTGCTTCTGCTGCCTGGTGGGAGTGCTGAAGAGGTGCGGAACGAGAAGGAGCAGGCTTTCTGAGTGGGGAGCTCTCTGAGGAAGTGACAGACACCTGACAGCAGGGAAAGGGAAAGGGTGTGGCAGAAGGGCTGCTGGTGCAACTAGACCAGTGAGGGGTGAGCAAACTGGCCACAGAGGAGGCTTGGGAAGTAAGGCTGGAGGGCTACTTGGCAGGGCTCAGGTGCAGGAGCTTGGCACCCGGGGCACAGAAACAGGATGCACACAGCCCCTGTGGATGATGGCCCAGGCTGGGTGTGCGGGGTGTGTGCTTTCCAGGGACCACAAATATGCTGGGTCACTACAGCGGGTCACACAGGATTTGTAAACCACACACAAACTGACGACGGCTTCCTCCTCTTTGCCCTTACAGGGTTTGGTGGGCTGCTCCCAGCTCCTTCTTCAGCCCCACCCATCACCTCTCTGCCTTGTTTCTGTAGCACCCCCTTTCTGTTCCATACCCCCCAACCCCCTCAGCCTACCTCTCTCCTCCAGACTGCTGTTCCCTTCTCTGGAACTGACACTAGCAGGAGCACGAAGGAGAAATCCAGGCGTCTGAAGACCGAGCTCCAGCGGTTTCCCTGCTACCCGAGAGACAACAGCCTCCCACACATGCCAATCACCAGAGGAGGAGGCAGAGCAAAGGAGGAGGCAGAGCAAATACTTGCCCCCCAGACTCCCACATCCCTTCTCTGCTGCTCTGCATGGCAGTGCCAGATCTCTTCATTAAACCCCAGTGTCCTGGTCATTTCTGTAGCCCTGGCTGTGAACTTGAGAGACGGGAAGCGAAAGAGTCTGTAAAGACCTTGTTGGGCTCCACACACCCGTGGATCGCTAGGATCAGAGTGGAGTGTGAGGAACTTGGCTGCTGTCTGCTAAGGATCCCTGGGACTCCTTTTCCCGAGTCCCAGTCACATCCCACAACTCATTCTCACCAGCCCAGGATACTCAACCCACAAAATTCCTGGCCCAAGATTGCCTGCTTTCATCCTGCTATCTGGATGGACCTCTTAATTCAGAGCCCTGTCTTGCCTAATTTTATGCTCCTTTTGTTAAGAGCCGTAGGCTGCTCGATGGCATCTAAGAACAGTATAACGACTTCCTTTGCAAACCCGGCTCTCAACAATCCCTGGCACCCAATGGATTCTTTGACTGTTGTGGGAGCCCTTTCCACTCCGGTGAACACAGCACCCCAGGAGCTCAGAGTACTGCCCCAGTCCTGAGGGGCATATGCAGTTCCAAATATGGCCATCAGGTGGCTCCATCTATCGGGCCTCTGTTCTCTCCACCTTCACTCATCCCACTGCCCAATTCTTTCCCCTTCACATTCCCACACTCTGACTAGCTATAGCTGCAAGCCCGAGTCTTTCCCCAGGTTGGGGCAGTTAGAGTGTCTGTCTCCTGGGTTAGCTCTTTCTCCGCCGGCTGATATCTGAGAGAGGCTTGACCTGCTGAAGTGGAGTAAGAGTGCTAGGCTCCCCCCAACACCCAAAACACAGGGAAGGGAGAGTGTTTCCTGTAGAGCAGAGACCAAGTTTGATCTCACAGTGGAACTTCACTTTTCAGGGCAGCATCAGGGTAACTTCCTGAGCTAAGCCCATAAGAGAGAAGTGTTCCAGAGTTGGGACCCTGGGCTGTTTGACATCCATGAACTGGAGAGGCTGAGCTACAGAGGCAGCCCCTTCTCTCTGAGTCCCTAATCTGCCCTCTGCTCCTAGTTCATTATCTGCAATAAATGCCAGAGCTAGGTGCAAAGGGCAGTGTCAGATATCCTTGGGCACGGTCTGGCACCAAGGGCCGCTCAGCCTGCCAGCCACAGCCCCTTACTGGGACCCTGGTAGTGGGATCGGAAACTTGGAAGGTGCCATGGGAAGCAGCATTCTGTCTGGGATTCTGGCTACAAGCAGGCCAGTGGGCAGAAAGCCAGATGTGTGCAAAGATGCAGCTCGCATCATGTACCATTAGGCACAGCCATGCCCAGTTTCTCTCTCTCTCACACACATACACACATGAGAATCTGGAGAACCTGATGGGGTCAGTCCATGCCATACAGAGGATAGGTCTGGGCTTTACACCCAGGCAGACACAGAATCAGTTCCCCTTCCCTCCTCAAAGGGCTTCACCTGACTGGCCAGGGTCCAGAGCACGGGCTCCTTGCTTTGTCTCTTCCCAGCCTTTTTATAGAGCCAGGCCCCAACTTTCAAAGTCAACTCTTAGTTCATCCAGTCAGCTATTAACCCAAGGCTTGGCAGATTGGGGTATCCACCCTGCCCTGCAAAAGTGGGAGATCAGTCCTGGGCCTGACTCAAAGCAAACACCTGGGTGCAGCCTTCCCGTGGGAGGAGGGAGTGGGGCCTGCTCAGGAGATCTAAGGCAGTGGCTTTGTGGGACAGGTTCCTCCAGAGGTCTCCTGCAGGCCACCCAGCTTCTAATGCAAGACAGGACCTAATCCATCTCCTGTGAAGATGGAGTTGAGAGCAAAGACAGACAGAAACACTTCCTAAGAAGGACGATTTTGAGCCAGCAGATGTGAGATAGAGGCTGATGGGGGAAGGAGGAGGGGCCTCTGTGACAAGGCTGGTATTTCAGCTGCCGCCATGACGACGGCCTTGGATGAGAGGCCTGGTGTCTGGAGAGTCCTGCCTGGACTCCAACACAACCCCTGGACACAAGGACACAAGGAGACAAGAGCTGGTTGTATGAGTCAGATGCTGCCTCATGCTTTTTAATGGATTCATTCACTCCGCACAGCAACCTTAAAGTGACTGGTGTGATTACTCTCCCATTCTGTAGACGAGGCAGCTGAGGCAGCGAGTCGCCGAGTAATTTCCCAGGGTCATATAGCTAGTCACGACTCACATTATTACTAGTAAACAGTTCTTATTCACTATTTCAATCATGATAATGGTGTATCAGAATTACATCATTAGATCCTGATCAAACCCCCCCAGAAGTAAAAACCATTATCTCAAACTTACAGATGATCATGTGGAAGCTTCTAGGGTGTGACTCTTTAAATTGCATAGGTTGATAGATGCAGACTGGCAAATCAAATTCAGGCTAATTTGGCACTTTCCAGAGGGGAAACAGCTATATTAGGGGCTCTGTAATTAAGGTACCTGGATGAGCCCCAGTATCTTGACACAGGGAACAAACATTCAAATGAGATGCAAATGACCCCCCCAAATGGGCAAAACTGAGGTCTACCTCCAATTGTAGGGCAGGGGTGGGGGGAGGGAAGCTGCTTGGGAGGCTATCTGTCATTAACCAACACAAACTAATTGAGTGGACACCACTCCTGAAACTGGGACAAGACCTGGTGCTGCCCTCTTCTTGGTCTGGAAAAGTAGGGCAGGATGCCACCTCCACGACCTGCACCTGCCCCACAGCCCTCAGGAGTCCAGCTATTGTTACCCCCCTTCCCCACATCTGTCCCCATTCCTAGAGGCAGGGGGAGAGCGAGCTGTGCCCAGCTGTCTGTCTGAGCCCACCTGGTAGCGGTGGTGAACTGGGCAGGGCTACCTGGGCCAAAATGCCCTGTGAACACAGCTAAGGAGGCAGCTGTGTTAACCATTAGCTACAATGGCCCCCCGCGAAGGGAGTCAGCCTCCCGCAGGGCTTGGGGCTGGACATCCAGGGGGGTCATTTTGTTCCAGATGGGTGACCAAGCTACCACAGGCCGGGAGAGGGCTCTGGGACCAGAGCAGACGGTAAGCTTTCAGTCTTGACCTCGCTGGACTCTTTCTTCAAAAATCACTTACATCATGCCAGCCTGTGAGGCCTGAATGGGAGGAAAGGTCCAAGGAGTGCTCTCTTGCTCCCAAAACATAACTGCAGGCTGGATTGTGGGTTCCTTGAGGTCAAGGTTGAGCAATGTGAGCACTGAAACTCCAAGTCCCCAGTGCCGAGCTCTATCATCAACATTTGAAGGTCCAAAGAAGGAAAGTGACTAGGACCCTAATCCTGGAATTCCTTGGCCACTGAGAAAAGGAGATGTGGGCAGAGCTTTGGTTTCCCACCCCAAGGCTCTGGACCTGTGCAGGCAGCCCACCTCTGACCACACCTCTGGCTCCTGTGATAACTAGGTCCTCGTACTTATTGGCACAGGCTGGGGAAACCTGATCTTTTGCTCTGGGTTCAACACAGAGATATGGCCTAACCTGTAGAGCCAGAGCAGATAGACTTCCATAGGACACCTCTGGGAAGTTGGTGTGTGTGTGTGTGTGTGTGTGTGTGTGTGTGTGTGTGTGTGTATGCGTGCTCAAGTGTAGCTTAATTTTTTTTTAATCTGAAAGGAGTCCTGGTGGTATAGTGCATTATGTGTTGGGCTGCTAAGTGAAAGGTCAGTGGTTCAAACACATGAGCAGCTATGAGAAGAGGAAGGAGAGACAATG